TAGGTATGGTTGAAACCAAATACGAGACATAAGGGAGAGCAAATAAAAATTAGGGCATAAAATTTTAAATATATACTAATATTGAAGAGCTAATTGTTGATTGTCAAACAAGGAATCGCGAGGTTGACGGTAAATAATGTTACTGGTAATAATAATATTACAATAACGCTATGTGAGAGAGTAACAATAGTTGTATTGCCTTAGTTTCAGTATAGAAAATACAGTGTCTCCTCTCCCTTGCTAGCTGAGGGGAGTTCTATTTATGCTAAGTGCTAACGGTAACAACATGAAGAGTCACAATTGGGGAGCTGAGGCTAACGGTAATAGCATGAAGAATCATGAATGAAGCGCTCAGCTTTAATTCTCTCCCTTCAATGCAATGAATGGTCATAATGTTTCCACCCGTTGGTGTTTTGCCCGTTGGAGTTCTGCCTGTTGGAATTCCACGCGGTGTCGGGTTAAATATGGTGTCGGGTCAGATGCTGCTCATAATCTGGGTCGGGTGCCAGCACCATTATCCTGTCACAAGTCCCCCCTACTCCTGAGTCTACGGATGTGTTTGAGTTGACTTGGGAGTAAGGCTGAATCTATCTTGACACTGTGCTTGTTTTATTATTAATATATATTTATATATATACATGTTTTTTTTATGTTTTTTTTTTTTTGTTTTGTATTGTTTTTTTTTTGTTTGTTTGTTTTGTTTTTTTTTTTTTTTTTTTTTTTTTTGGCGGTCGAGGAGTCGCCTTAGCCGGCCGGGGCGCAGCGCCTCGGCCTGGCTGGGGCGCAGCGCCTCGGCCTGGCTGGGGCGTCGCCTCAGCCGTTTGGCTGGGGCGCAGCGCCTCGGCCTGGCTGAGGTGTCGCCTCCGCCATCTGGCCGAGGCACACGTGGCTGAGGCGTCGCCTCAGTCATTTGGCCGAGGCGCAGCGCCTCGACCCGACTGAGGCGTTGCCTCAGCCATCAGGCCGAGGCGTGCGCCTCGAACCCTTTTTTTCTTTTTTACGAACAGGCTGAGGCGCAACCTCGGCCAGTGGCCGAGACGCGGGCCTCGGCTTGGCCGAGGCACTGCCTCAGTCGGTGGCCGAGGCGCTGCCTCAGTCAGTGGCCGAGGCGTGCGCCTCAGGCCCCGGCCGAGGTGTGCGCCTGGCGACCTTTTTTTTTTTTTTTTTTTTTTTTTTCGGCTGAGGCGTCGCCTTAGCCGGGTTAGGTCGAGGCGTCGCCTCAGCCGTGGGCGCTGGTCGAGACGCGTGCCTCGGCTAGTGACCGAGGCGCACGCCTCAGGCCTTTTTGCGGCTCGGCTTGTGGCGCTGCCTCAGTCGTGCCTTGGGCCGAGGCGTCGCCTCAGCCCGTGCTGGGTCGAGGCGTGCGCCTCGGCCTTGGTTTTTTTTTTTTTTTTTTTTTTTACATTGCGCCGTCGGCCGACTTTTGGTTGATCGAAGTTGGTGCTGAGAACCTTTTATTTGAGCAAAGTAACCTGGGCAGACAATGATTACAAAATATTGTTTACAGGTTTGGGCGGACCACGACTACAAAATATTACTTATAATATCTAATTAAATGTTCTGAGTTCCATACCCGATCGATCATCCTTGCGGATGGTGTGGACTTGTAGGTCCTTTCCGCCAATCTTTTTGCATGCTTTTACGTAACAATTGCGTGCTGCTCACACAAGTGAGTCTTACCACGATGAATTCCACGTCAAGTTTGCGAATGTTAGGGCTCGTTCCTATCTCCACTGGTAAGACTACTAACCCCTCCGTCTCCACTAAATCACCCGTAAATCCAGAGAGTGGGGTACGTACTTCTTTGAGCTGGTTCCTAGGTATCCCTAACTTGGTGAAGGCATCGTAATACATCACATTGACTGAGCTTCCCGTGTCGACAAAGATGCGGCGGACAATGACATTGTACGTCCATCTCAATCACCAAGGCGTCATGATGGGGTAACGGGCCCTCTGGGAGGTCATCATTAGAGAAGGTGATGGGCTCCTATCTCTGTTTCTCTTCTCTAGGAAGACTCACCACTTCTCCCACGTATAGCTGCCGGCTCCACTTCTTTCTTTCCGCAGGCGTGTCACCCCCTGTGGGTCCACTATAGATAAAGTGTATGGTGTGCTTCTTTTGTCGTCTGGGCGCCACCTCGATTTCTTTCTCGCTATCATTCTGCTCAGATATTTGGTCGTGTTCTCTTTTTTTTGGCGTTCGAGGTGGACGGCTCGGTGCCATCCTCATTCCTCCAGACATTTTTTGGTGGATTGTGTTGCGGCTGTTGCTGCTGCTTGGATCGCTTGACGAAATGTCGGAAGTAGCCCTGCTGGATGATTTCTTCTATTTGTCTCTTCAAAACGTGACACTCATCCGTATCGTGGCCGGTTTGCCTATGAAACCTGCAGTAATTTGTTTGGTCCGCCTTCGGGGAGACCTTCATACACTCCTCGGGGAATTCTACCATTCCCATCTCCTCAGCTTGCTTTAGAATGACAGTGACGGGATGGGTAAGAGGAGTTAAATTATGCAAGGGGACCAGGCAAGGTCGTTCGTGGTCTCGGCCTTTCCCTGCGGTCGGGTGGTTCGAGAGTGGTGCCTGGCTGGGCGGACCCGCTTTCCCAGGCTTCCCACCTTTCCTACCATCCTCTTCGTCCTTCTTCTTCCTGTCGACGTCCTATGCTTGGGCATAGCGGCTAGCCGTCCTTATCAGATCTTTGTAAGAGCGGGGGTGGTGGGCGTTCAGCTGCTTGTGGAAATACCCTGATCTTAAGGCATGGATAAATATCGGGATCGCCGCCTTGGAGTCGAAGTCGTAGACATTATTAACTTCCTTTTTCCATTTTATCAGGAAGTCTTTGAGGCTCTCGCCTCTATCTTGCTTTACTACACAGAGGTGAGAGAAGGGTTTCTTACGCTGTATGCTACCGGAGAAGTATGTCAGGAAGCTCTTGGACAACTCCAAAAAGTTTTGGATCGACCCATCCGGGATGGTGTTGAACCAGTCTTGGGCCGCTCCATCCAGGGTGGACAAGAACGCTCGGCACATGATGGCGTCCTCTGCCCCGATCATTACCATAGCAGCCTTGTACTTCGTCATGTGGACATGTGGGTCAGTGGCCCCCGTGTACTCCTTGATGGCGGGCAACCTAAAGTCCCTCGGCAAAGGTACGTCCGTGATGCTTGGGGAGAATGGTGCTGCCATCCGTACCTCGGGTTCCGGCGACTGCTCCCGTGCCTCCACCCTTCTTGCTAACTCCTCGATTCTTCTCTGCAGCCTCTCGACCAGGACCGACTCGTCAGGGTGCCAGCGCGGGGCCGGCTGCCGTTCCTCCAAGTGTCGGTGTGGAACCCGGTCATCAACGCGTCGCTTCCCCGCCGAGTGCCGACGCGGAGCCGGCTCTTCGACGCGTCACTCCTCCAAGTGTCAACGTAAGGCCGACTCATCAACGTGTTGGCGTGGGGTCGGCTCCCGAGACTCGCCCACCTCCTCAGTGGGTGATCTCTCGGCTTCTCCGTTTTCGTGTTGGCGAGGGTTTCCGGTAGAGGACCCCTCGGCCCGTGATCCTAATCTTTGCCGCACTGGCGCCCTCTGTCCCAATCGTTCTGGTGCAGATTGGGAAGGGCCTGGTTGTCGTCTGGCCGGTCCACTTCTTTGGGTCTCCACCCCTATTTCCTGGGGCCGCGGGGGCACTTGGCCTTGCAGTCCCACCGCCACCTGATTTAGCGTCGCCGTCACTGCTTGCTGAATGACATCAGCGGTCGCCTGGAGGTTCACGGCTTGGTTTACCCCTCCATTGTTGAGTTGGTCTCGAAGGTCCCCGAGCCTCCCGTTGTTGAGTTGTTCTCGGAGGTCCCCTCCGCGATTGTTGGTGAGCTGGTCCCGGAGGTCACCTGAGGCATTGCCATTGTTCACGTTGCGGGAACCGTGGGAGCTGCGGGACACCATTATTTCAAGCTTGCTGTTGAAAGAGGAAAAGAGTTGTGTGTGTCGTCGCCTGCTTGAGTGTTGGACTCAGGCTCTCAATGAAAGCACCAATGACGGTAAATAATGTTACCGGTAATAATAATATTATAATAACGCTTTGTGAGAGAGTAACAATAGTTGTATTGCTTTAGTTTCAGAATAGAAAATACAGTGTCTCCTCTCCCTTGCTAGCTGAGGGGAGTTCTATTTATGCTAAGTGCTAACGGTAACAACATGAAGAGTCAGAATTGGGGAGCTGAGGCTAACGGTAATAGCATGAAGAATCATGAATGAGGCGCTCAGCTTTAATTCTCTCTCTTTAATGCAATGAATGGCCATAATGTTTCCACCCGTTGGTGTTCTGCCTGTTGGAATTCCACGCGGTGTCGGGTTAAATATGGTGTCGGGTCAGATGCTGCTCATAATCTGGGTCAGGTGCCAGCACCATTATCCTGTCAGAGGTAGTTTTCCACTTCAATTTGTTGTGTAATTTGAATACTCTTTTTGTAAATAAATCCCCCAAGTAGTTAATATGATTGGTTTAATTATATATATATATATTTTTTTAAAACAATTATTATTATTATTATTATTATTATTACTAGTAGTTGCACCCGTGCGATGCACGGCCATATATATAAATAATAGAATATATAGTATTATATAAAAAACAAATAGGGTAGAGACAAATTTCCAATTTATTAGACATTATTGAAAACTTCTTTATATACGACATTTGTAGTCGTATTTTTAGATTTTACATTTTCATCACAGATAAGTATTTTTAAACCCTTTGGACTACTAACTCTTGACACTGCTACATACATTTGACCATGATTGAAAACCGGCCTCTTCAAAAACAAACCGACGTTTGAGAGTGTTTGACCCTGACTTTTATTTATTGTCATGGCATATGACAACATTAGTGGGAATTGCTTTCTTTGGAATTTAAAAGGCAATCTGGGATCAGACGGTGTTAAGGACATCCTTGGAATTAAGACCTTTGAACCAGCACTTGCTCCGCACAGTATTTGAGCTTCTAAAACATGATCAGCCAACTTTGAAATTATCATTGCACAACCCCAATGAGTGATCAATATTTCTCAAAAGCATAACTGGTGAGCCGACTTTTAGAGTCAATGAGTGATTTGGAACTCCAGAACAGCGTAATCCATTTAAAAATTCCGGTGTGTGCAGATCAGCAAGCATGTCAACATTAGAATCCGATTTGCAAACTGAATCACAACTGAGATACGTCCTTCCTTCAGCATTATTATATTCATTCATGTATTCATTGACTGTATCAACAATATCCAAAGTTAGGGCCAAAATTGCACGATCTTTTAGATATTTCAGATCTCGGTTACCACTGCGAAACATAGGAAATGTGCTATCAACAATTGTAGCAATAGGATCCTCAACACACGTTAGTAAAAATTCCTGAGGAATCTTGATCTCACATTCTCCATCCCTTGAATCACCAATTTTTCCATCACCTATATTGGCAATCCATTTAGCAAATTCTTCAATCTCTTGAGCTTCAGTATTTGATTGCAAGGTCCTGAGTCTAAGATTCTTTGTTAGCCTAAATACTCTACAACTTCTCCAAAGATAGGATGAATTTATGCTGGCTCCCACAATATCTTGTCTCGATCCCTTTGGAATTACTGGTAGTATTTGTCTAAAATCTCCACCTAACACCACTGTTTTTCCACCAAAAGTCATATCCCAGCTGTTTGGATTTTTGACACGCATTATATCTCTCATAGTTCGGTCCAAGCTTCAAAGCAAAATTTATGCATCATTGGTGCCTCATCCCAAATGATCAACCGACTTTGCATGATCAACTGTGCCAGCGGACTACTTTGGCTTATATTGCAAGTTGAATCTTCATTAACAGCTATTGGTATTGCAAACCTTGAATGTGCAGTTCTTCCCCCAGGTAATAGAAGTGAAGCTATGCCACTTGATGCAACGTTTAAAACTATCTCACCCTTTGATCTAATAGCAGAAGACAATGCTCTCCACAAGAATGTTTTTCCCGTTCCACCGTATCCATAAACAAAAAAAAGTCCTCCAACATTATTCTGAGCATCTTGCAATACGTTGTCATATATCACCCTTTGTTCTTCAGTCAGTTGTTCCACCATGCTATCATTCTCTTCCTTCATGACATTAACGTCATATGCTAATTCCTCCTGTATCAACCGATTGGTGGTTCTAGCATGATTCTCTAAATCCGGTACCGGCATCGATTGAAAGTCTTTCAAACTCTTACCCATAGTCGAAAGCATTAGTTCTATCTCAGCAAGTGCAAAATTCTTCTTCTCGTCTTCCGATAAGATCAAATCTGTGATAATATTTATAATAATAGATTATAATTGTGTTTAACAAAAATAATGTTGTAAAACATGAAAATAAAAAGAAAATTCAAATTACCTGGAATCCTCATTTCTTCTCTAATCTTGAATTGTGCATCATCAGACAAATAAGTCCACGCAGCTTCCCAGACAACTTCAGGTTTCGCCATTGAGTTTGACATCAAGAGAGTGACAAAAAATCTTCTCAAATTCACACCTGTGGCCCATTGACTTGCTTCTTCGATAGCCTGAATATATTCTTTGTCGTCATCTACTAAGCCTCTCGCAGAACACGCATCCCTAAAAGAATCGTATTGCACACCATTTACTTGTTTTATATCTAAGTAACTTGTGGGTCCTTTGACTTTATTCAAAAGACATCTCAAATAAAAGATCTCCCCTGTACCAGGAGGCACATAGAATACTCTACCTATTGCAAATCCTCTTTTCCTTGGCTGCCATTTTCTAATATCTTTCTTCCAGACAAATTTCGTTGGCATTTCAGCATATGTCAATTTCCTCGCTTCCGGGTAGATTTTATTGGCCTCAAACCATTCTAGGAACATGCTTTGTAAGATTATTGGCCGGCTAAGTATGTTATCAACTGGATCATCATCGGCAAATACTACACTTTGTTGATTCGGCAGGTGAAAGCTTAATCGTTCAACTGATGGTGTCCTTAACTGTATATCAAATCCAAACAACCGCCAACATGCTTCACAAGGAGATATGTACCTACAATCATAGTACATACTGATTTCATCAATAACTTTCGGCCCATCATCATCAGTGTTTGTTCTGTAGAATTCTGCTGTGACCCTGTCGTGACCCTTGTTCACGTACTTAAATAGATACTTTATTGACCGGGACTGGTTACACCATTCCACATTAATATGAGCCCGGTACTTTAACAACAAATGCCTATTGTGTGGAACCACGTACCTATTATCCAAGTTAATCCCATTGCGCATCACCGAGTGACCATTGTCTCTTCTCCGATAGATAGGATAACCATCCTCGTCAAAAGTTGAGAAATTAACAAATTTTTTGGGAAAGTGTTTAGTACATTTACCATTCGCCATACATGGAGAATTCAACCGTGCTCTACCGCAAGGACCATGCATCATAAACTCCTCTACTACTTTGAAGTATTCGGTATCATCTTCTTTATCAGGTAACTCAGCTGAAATGATGTTGTCCAAATTTATCCCGCTTTGGTTCCCATTGGTCTTTTCCAGAAATAACAGTATATGAGCATGCGGTAGACCTCTCTTTTGAAACTCGATTGTATAGATCACTGTTAAGCGTGCAAAATTTTTAAAATTGTAAAAGATAGCAAAATATATTAATTAAACTCACAACAATTGCTGTTAATAATTAAGTTTTATCTAAGTACCTCCAATTACTGGTCCAAAAAGCTTGTTCTTCCTGCAGTCTGCAATGAGAGCGTCCAATTTCATTCTGAATACTCTACATACTATGTCAGGACGATCTTCTGGTTTTAATTTTCGATCGTTCAAGAATCGTTGCACCTCAGGCCACTTGGGGTTGCAGGTGAACGTGATAAACAAATCTGGATATCCAACCCATCTACATATCGCCATTGCGTCCTGGTAATTTTGTATCATGTATCTAGCACCACCTGTAAAACTTGAAGGCAATATTATTCTCTTTCCTTGAGTAGTTGGGTCGACTTCACCGCGTGTTAAAGCATCATTCAAGCAGTTATATGATTCGCATCTCAAACTTTTTTGGTGTGTCCTTATGTAAATTAACCTTCCAGACTCCACCATTGTATAGGCGTCCACCACAAATTGTTGTAATAACCTTTTTGCATGCAATAAAGTTGATACCTCTGCGATTCGCGATTGGATACGGTATGAAAAATATTCTCGAGGACTTATCCGTTGGCGTCCACCGGCTATGTTTCCTTTTAATGTTGAGAAGGGGATGTCTTCCCTGTAACCGTCCTCACCGTATGGAAACAATAGAGGGTATTGCATGGGCAAGTAAGCTGGATTTAATTCAGTAATTCTTTGCAAGAGGCCACTCTTTGTTTCCACCAAAATGTCACGTTCTCCAATATTTGTATCAATATCACCAACAATTAAGGCAGCAACTTCTGACACTTGCGGCAAGTTGTATGTTCTGGCATCCTTTGATCGCTTACCAAGCAATTTAATCTTAACCTCAGCCAGTGGATTCTTTTGTATTTCTGCTCTTGCCATGCGAAATGATTTTACCAAGACATTGTTCTGGTCCAAGTCTTGTTGAATATCATTAACAATTTCGCTATGGATATCCTGTTGCTCACCATCTTTCCTATAAATATACGAAAAAAACTTATCAAATTGCATAAACAAATCTTGATAACTGTTTAATAAAACAAATTTCATATACATATAATGACTAAACACGTTCTTACCTTACAGAATTGATACGATTGCACATTTCATTATTAGTATCATATATATATAACTGTGCGAATTGTGGTTTTCTCCCGTCTACCGGCAATAGACTACCAATGTAGTGAAAATTTTGTCCACTTATCCTAAAAATTGGTGGACCTCCTGAGTTGTTGAAGGTTCTATCTATTTTCCCACCCATTGACGTGAAGCAAAACATACTATTGTACGACCTTATGTTTTGCAAGAATTGCTTGCTTTTTTCTCCTTCTCCAAAAAAAAGTTCATATATCGCTTTTGGTGGCATGATTGGTGGTGGCAATTGAACCTTACCATTGTTGCAACACAAGGAATATCTTGGGCTGCCGCGATTATCGGTCTTGTGTGTCCTCTCTTCGTACCAAAAAAAGCGCTCCGCAGTATTGACATGTGTTACTTGCATCACCAAGGTCGTTGTATTCCACTAATTTGACAATTAAATACTAATTAGTCTCCTACCAAAAAAGTAAGTTAAGGATTTTATATTTTACATACCAGTAATGTAATTAGTAGTTTCTAAAACGTGCATCATATTTCTTTCTTCGGCACCCACTTGGTTCAAATTCGAATCCACCAGTATAGAGGTCACGCGTAATGTCCCCAAGTCTGTGATTGTTGTTTGATTGCATTGGGTGGTAACTAAAAGTCATAAAAAAAAAATTAATCATTCTCGAATCCACATTTCGTCTCCAAATTGTAATTAAACTAACATTGAAAAAAAAAATCACTTACCATTTGTACTATCAAGTATCGGTTGTTGCGTAAATCCCTCATCACCTAATTTATATTGATGCATTAATTAAATGTAATAAAAGGTGATAATAATGATTAGTAGACATTATACTTACCACCATTGACCATTTGTACTTGATATGCGCTTATTATTGGAAACTTCTTCAAAATCTTGAAACAAATCACGATTGACAACATTATACTGGATAACGTCTTTACCCCTATCCATGCATCTACTTCTTTTGCATTGTTCGGTACCTAATAATTTCATATTATTCAAATTACTTAAAAAAAAAAAAAAAAAACAGAACTTAACTAAGAACGTAAACAATGCTATTTACTTTAAAAAATATTTACCATTCGATATATCCTATAAAGGTTGTCGTTGGCTCTCAGACATACTACCGGTACCTTCATCGGACATAAATAACTTTTTTATTTCTACATGCGATTAACTATGACATCGAAATAACAAATATTTTGTAATTTGAAAATTTCAAATAACTAACCGGTAAATATAGCGCTTGTTCCATTGGATAAATATGTAGTTCGTTCTCCTAACACAAACTGTCTGGATTTGTTCTGGGTTGACGTATATTCCTTGCTACGTGTACTAATATTTATATTCAACGTTTCTTTATTGACTGCAACAAAAATATATGACTGTTAAATTTTATAAACGTTTAATTTAGTAAACGACATTTTAATAAAGTTTTATTTCAAAATCATAAACAGTTTACCTGTTGTAAGCGAACTTCTCGGTGTTTCATTTGAATGAGAGTATGGTTGTGGTGTGTATTCCGTTAATGAATTAGAACCATTTTCTTGACACCCGGGATTGTGTTTGCTTTGAATTCGATAATTGTGTCCATTTTCTGCCAACACAAGAAAGAAAATAAAATAATAGAAAGCAATTATACATTGGTTCCAGTCCTAATTACATGCAATGTGGTCCACAAAATGTCGTGGACCATAATCAAATCTAATTTTTAAATTCCAAAATAATCAACTTTATAATATCTAAATAATGAACATAATTGAACATGACACCTTACATTATACCAACGATTTTTAAAAGAATATAAATACGAACAATTTTGAATAGACACGTGTAAATAAATTTTATCTAATATACCTTCATTATCCAAATTTTGTAGGTTTAGCAACAAAATAATCTATCATTAAAATATTATTAAAATGTAAATAATTTAACAGGGGGCACATTTTTATAATAAACTTTATAATGATAGTTGATAGATTGTAGACTTATTATATATGAGACCTAATTTAATAACTATGATGAGTTTTTTCAGGCCAAATATTAAACTGTTTATTTTCCATTGATCGTCACAATATTTTACAAAAAATATTATTAAACATTGTATTATTGAATACCACACTGAATTAGAAAATTTTGAATTTAAATAATTCAAACACTACAAGAAAAATCGCGAATCGTGACGGAAAATCGCGACGGACTATATTCCGTCGCCATTTAGCGACCGAAATTGCGACCGAATATATTCCGTTGCAAAATGGCGATGGAAAAGGCGACGGAATTAAATTCCGTCGCGAATCTTGGTGCAAAAATAATTAAAGCCCGCGAAATATTAGCGGCAAAATATTCACGACCGAATTTACGACGAAACTAATTTTCGTCGCTCATTTTGCAACGAAAAAGGCGACCAATGTTCGTTCCGTCGCGAAATCGCGACGGAAATTGCGACCGACTTACTTCCGTCGTTAAATGAATTAAATTTTGATATATTAACTCAATATTGCGACGGAAATTGCAACCATCTAGATTCCGTCGCAATATTAAGAATTTCAATAATTTCAATAATTCAATTAAAACAAAAGCAACCCTAATTAAAACAGCCCTGTGTCTCACTTTCTCTCTGTCTCTCATTCAACATTTCAACTCTAAGGCCTAAGCCGAATGCCGACTCTTCATCGCTGCTGCGCCAGAGACGTCACTCATCCCTCCAGCTCGAGTCCACCACCCATTCGACAGACAGCTCTGGAGGTCTCGCCGGACGGTTCTGGAGGTCTCACAGCTTCTCGGAGACGACCTGGACGCGAGACTGCCATCGGAGCATCTAGACGACACAATGGTGGGTGCTGTGATGGAGGAAGGTTGTCGGAGGTCCATTCAATCCATAAGAACAAACAACGCATCAACAATCCTGTGAAAGGAGAACAAAAATCGAAAGAGCAGTCTGGGAACCCTAGAGTAATCGTGGAGGAGCAGATGGTGTCTAGACCATCTGAGACAGAAATTGGAGGTGAAAAACAGGTAAAAGGATTCTCGTTTGCGCAGGAAAAAGCTACTATTGTTGATGAGGAACCATCTCTGTTGAGCAAAGCCAAATCTGGGGAGGTTTTCGAAGCAGAGAAGGGAAGACAGAACACAGGTACCACTCGCCCTCTACCTGTTCGACAAAATGCACCAATGAACAGAGCCATCCCTAACACTGAGGGAAGGCCTGCAAGACCTAGGAATGCTTGGTCTAATGTTTCTAACACCAAACAAGGTCCAAATCAAGGACCCTCAGCAAGTTTTTCAAGCTTGTTTACTAGAGATGTTAGTAAATGTCCTGGGAATGTGTTTGGGGGATTGCCCCAGCCTACAATATCTGAAAAACTGCCTAGAAATCATAGGGGACACCTCTCAATTAGATTTGGAAAAACTGAGGTAGGTCAGTTGAATGCAATAGAGAATCATCTTCTAATTGGGAAATTTTCATGGGGAAAGCCAACTCTAGAGAACCTAAAGAAATTTTTTGCTGCCAAATTCATACTGAAAGGAACCTTAAACATTGGTTGGTTGGATGCAAGACATGTAACATTGTCATTTTCACAAGAGTGTGACTGCATAAACATTTTTATGAAAGAACAAATCACAGTGGAAGGGGTTTTTCCCATGAGGATTTTTCGTTTGGTTCTAGGTTTCAGCACAGAAAGTGAGTCTAGCTTGGCTCCAGTGTGGGTACCTTACCTCTGCAACTCTAAGGCAAATTTGCAATTCCAAAGGCAAGGTACCTTACCTCTGAATATGGAACATTAAATTTTACCAGACCAAGCTATGCAAGAATCAAGGTAGAAATTGACCTGTTAAAACCTTTGGTTGATGATATATTTATAGGGTTCTCTGAAGAACCTGGGGAAGAGGATAATGGATACTTGCAAAAGGTGATATATGAAAGAATACCTCAATACTGCACACACTGTTTTAAACAAGGTCACTCAGTGGATGTTTGCAGAATTTCAAAGTCTGCAAACATGGTTGGAAAAGCAAAGGGAAATACTTTAGACAAGCGTGTGGTTTTCAGGGGATCCTATTTTATTTTTTAATCGTCTTTCTTAATTCTTATTGTACCTAGACTAGATCCTATTTGCGTGCTAGTGGATTTTTTTTTCCTCCTACTTTTAGTGAACTCCTTTAAAGTAAATGGGAGGATAATAAAGTGGAAAAGTTGAAGAGGAAAGTTTCCTCCAATTTAATCTTTTGGTGTTGATTTTAGTTGCTTTTCAAGATTTAGGCTTGAACCCTGTTACTTTGTGTCAATGTGGTGAGTGGTTGGAGACTTGTGAGTTGTGAGTTGAGACATTTATTGTTTGACACCCTGTTTCAGGTTGCTACAAATGTAGGGTTTGAGCTACCACCACCTGGACAGTATGCAGTTGGGATGTTCTTTTTGCCTACTTCTGAAAGCCGAAGTGAGCAAAGTAAAATTGTATTTACAAAGGTAATCTAAGCCCCAAAGGTTCTTTTATAATCAGCATGTTATGCCATTTTTCTTTATTGTTCCATTGGTCTTAATTGTTTAGAGTCATGATGAAGTGAGGCTGGTTTACTTGACCATCATGTTTACATTATGCTTATTGCTTCTAAAATTTTGTGTTTGCTTGTAGGTGGCTGAATCGCTGGGTCATACAGTCCGTTGATTCGAGCTGCATTAAACCTCCAATATGGTGGTTTTAGAGATTTCTATATATGTTCTCTTTCCTCAAGGTGAGTTTGTCTTGAGTTTTACTTAGTGGCTATTGCATTTCTGTGCTACAATGTCTCAAATTTTGATTTGCTTCCTGTAGGACTGTTGTCTACAAATTAAAGGCCAGTTAAAGCCTGATCAGTTGCAGGAATACTACTATGCAGATCTTGGGAATCAAAGGTGGAACCATCATGTAGAAGTATCTGAAAATCATGTGTACATGATTACTGTAGTGTAGTCGTTAGAGAGACTAACATGTTAAACCTTTCGTTTTAGTTTTGAAATTTTAAATAATAAAGCATCATCGTCATCTCTATGCTACTTTTTTTCCCAGCCTAAGGCGTTTAATTGTTATGCTTGAGTTATATGCAAATAAGATATTTTAAAAATATTCATTATTATTTAAAATCACAATTTTATTTTAAAATAATTCAAAAACGCGACGAAATATAAGATTTGCGACGGAATATTTGTTGCAAATGATGCGACGGAATTACGAGGCGATGGAATTGGCGACGGAATATTCGGTTCAGAAATAACGACGGATTTGCGACGGAAACAGTTCCGTTGCGAAATTGGCGACGGAATCGCGACGGAATATTTCCGTCGCCAAATGGCAACGGAAATATTCCGTCGCTAAGTCCGTCGCCAAAAGTTACGACGGAATTGTTCCGTCGTCTATCAAAATACGACAAGGCGATAGACGACGGAATAAATTCCGTCGCCATTCCGTCGCGAAACGCGATTCGTGACGGAATATTGCCCATTCGCGACGGAATTTTTCCGTCGCGATTTGCGATTTTTTTTGTAGTGAAATCTAATTACAATATAAACATAATTATGCAAATTACATATATATAAAATATTAATGTAACAATGTATGTATAAATATTCATTGTTGAAGTTTATTAAATGTTCTTTAGTTAGTATTTTTTATTCACATTTTTATATGAAAAAAAGTAGTTAATTAGGAATATATGTACCACTAATTATTATAAACAGTAAGGCATCATAAATCATAATATAATCTTATTCCAAAAAAAAAACTTAATATAATATGAGCGTAAATTACAAACTATTAAAATTAATATTACAAATTATTAAAATTTGTAATATTGCAATATTATTAAATTTGGCATTTGGAATATTTGAATTTCATATTGAAATTCTATTTCACAATTAAAGTACAATATAAGATACTAATCAAAACTAATAGCTTAGTTTCCAGAATCATCTTCACTCTTCACTCACTGTACCTCTGCATCTCGCCTCTCTTAAGCTCACAAACTAAGAATTCTCTAGACACTCCTCACTATACTTAAGCTAAGTTTAGTGATTTACACTACGAATTTTCCTTTGGAGATCTACCTCTACTGCTTTATTTAAAAAAAAAAAAATGAGGGTTCTTTCCTAGCTAATCTCTGAGAAGCAATCCAGAAATTCCAACTGTCTGAGTTGTTTTGTCAGGTATATTAGATTGAAGAAGATGAATATGGCCTACCAGATCTGGAAAATCCAAGACGCAGGTTTGTTTGATATATGGGTCTGATCTGAAGGTCCTAAAATTGATAATTTTTTTCTCAAATTAAAAAATTAAAAGATTTAAGGGGATAATGGCATGCATTCGAATCTGGATAGTCCACTGTAAACTCCTTCATCTCATCTTGAATCTATAGATTTTTTTAATAGATTTAGTTTAGTTCACTTCAGATAAGTAACCGAACACTCAATTCGTTTTTTGGGTGATGTATTCTTTATCGCAATTTGTATTTTATTTTTCAGATTCATTTTTATTTTTCCGATTTTAGCAGTTGATTTTCTTAACTAATCGGTTAGCTTTTTAATTTCAGGGATGAAGTTTTTCAAACTGTACCCAGAATACAACGCAAATACACTTCTCCTGGACACTTAAAGGTATACTAAACCCACAATTTTTGAATCAATTGTCTAATTAGGCAAACGAAATTGTGTATTGTTCATCGTAAAAGTAGTTAGCGTACAACATATGTTTGATATCTATTTGCATAATAACTATTAGTGTTTTTCCCTTTAAGCTAATAGGGTTTACACTGATTTCTTACATGTTCAGTTTCGTTTTTCTGTTGTTATGAGTGTATGTATATCACAAAAACTTGTAGCTAAGCATGCATCAGTGCAGGTAAAGAACTAAAAATGTGTTTATTGAAGTACAAAACTGAGGTGAACTTAAAAGTACAGTATGGAATATGTTTTCAATACCTTGATTGTCGATTAACTGCTTCCTTTTGCTGCCTATGACTGTAGAAGTAAGTATTTTCCTCATCTGTGATATGTGGTTTTAGGGCTAACTCATTTAGAGTGTGTTGGGATTGTATTTTGAGTGTGTCTTATGCCAAATTTGAAGTATTTATAACCAGGTCATGATTATGACTCTTCATTTTTTTTGTGGAAAACAGCAATGAAATCTACTTTTTGTCTAATTGAATACACATGTTCCCTGTTAATTTATTTTCTTACTTATTTTTAAAGATGTGACTAACACACATTTTCAGAATTTGACAAATGAAGAATTTATTTTTCTGATGTCATTAGTGTACACAGAGAATTTATTTTCTGATGCCATTAATGGCAAATGATGATATGATAAATCTGTTGCCAGATAATCATTTTTTGGGGACAGTCTGAATAGCTGTAAGTTCATTTTGATGTGGATTGAAATGGTGTGACTTAAAAAAATTAAAACAGTCACAGTTTAAAAGAGTTATTTTTAGTGAATCCAAACTGTTTGAAATCTGAACTGGTATGTTTATTTGAGTGTTTTTAGTAAGAGTAGTAACTGCTGGAAAATGATGATATGACCATTTTACTGAATGGAAAATGATGATATGACCATTCTTATGCCAGTTTCTCAATAAATTGTTACATTCTTAATACTTTTCAGTTGATTAAGATGGAGATTCAAATGCTGTATCTTAATTTGAATCACAATTTTACAGTCTAAATGAGTTATTTTTAGTGAATCGGAAGTTGTCTTACATTTGAAGTTGTATTTTTTTTTTGTCCGTTATAAGTTTTAGTAAATGATGGCAAATGATTTTACTGAATTGCAAGATCATATATAAATGAAGTTTTCTTTCTGATGCCATTAGTGTCCACAATATTTTGCTAAATGGCAAATGATGATCTGACCATTATGTTGGCAGTTTGTGATTTATTTATGACATTATTAATACTTTTAAGTTCACACCTTACAACTGAGTCTAATAATTGTAATGAGAAATTCGAATGTGTTGCTTCAAGCTTCAAAAAGTGATTTTGCTTGTAATTTTAAAACAGTTTGATTCTGCGTATTTTTTTAGTCCTATAGTGTGTTTATTAGTTATGAAGACTTCCAAGAATTTTATTTTTTCAGTTTAAATATTTTTTCTACTTGTAATATAGTTCTAATTGACTAATGATTTGCTTGACTGTGGAGATTAAAGATATTTTGCTAAAGTACAACTTTTTTTTTTTTGCTGATTTATTAAGTACTATATGGGTAATAGTTAAATGTGTGTTATTAAAAGATGTGAAATGAATGATATTTTGTGGGTTTGGTGTTTTCAAATGCATGTTTCCTTGGCCAATTTTTTTTTCTGCAATATCTCAGAATGTGTTATTCATATACACTATAAATATTTTACAGTATTGAGACACACTTAGCATAATATAGTCTAATCTAGAATGCAAATCATAGAAGATGGAATTCCTTGAACATTTTTTGTAATCCTGGTATTGATCTTGCTTGTATCAGTGAATTTGGAATTCCTTGAAGATTCTTTCTTGCTTGTATTTGTGAGTCAATATGTTTGCTTCAGGCTGATTCCATTTTTAATCTGCAAAAAGTTAGAGAGTAATAAAATAGTACAAATATAGTAAATACTATAACAGTGAATACTTAGCAATAAAATATAATAGTGAATACTTAGACAAATTCAAAATAGATAAAGAGTAACAGTCAATTCAAATAGTTTAGCACTATTATAGTGCTATTACTGATAGATGGTTCCCCAAAAAAACATCCAAAAATTAAAACAACCACACAATGGTGGACAATTGTCTGCTGAAATATACTCCCTCTGTCCCATTTTGCATGTCTTACTTTCCTTTTTAGTTTGTCCCAAAATGTTGTCCTCTTTCCAAAATTGAACATCACCATCATTGTACTTTTTCCAAAATTACCCTTATGATTTTTGCTTTTATTTCCAAAAGTGAAAAAGTGAAGGGCATAATTGGAAAATACATAACATTTACTTTAATTCCTTAAAAAGCGTGCAAAAAGCAAATGAGACAACCAATTCGGGACGGAGGGAGTATCAAATATTAGGAACTTAGGAACCATTTCCCTGAGCAGTCACAGCCTTGGCCTTCTTAAGCTTGTTGGAAGAAGAAAACTGGTCCAACAGGGATCTCTTCACACCAAAAGCTTCTTCAGTTTCACTCTCTACCATTTGGGGCTGCTGGACACTGTTAGGGCTGTTAACTTCATTTTCCGCATTTGAAGCTTCCTATAAATAGAAAAAAATGATTAAAATTTAAAATCTCACATAAAGACTAAAAAAATAGAAGTAAATAAAATTACCTGATTAGATTCATCTTCTTCCTCTTCATCCTCATCAATCATTATCGAGATTAAATATTTTTCTTGGTTGTCCTTAATTTTGGAACAGTAGGTAGATATTAATATCTCATCCCTTAAAATCCTAGTCACAGCATATGCTGGATTGGCTCCTTTCATTTGGCTCATTTTCAGTGATATCTTAAATATCATTGGCATTCCAATTAATGAATCCAATTCCGTTGGAATGTCAGAAACCTACAACAAAGATAAAATAAGTATTACACAAATTAACAGTATAATAAATTTTTTATGGCTCTATAACATAGCTATAGAGGTTACTGACCTGGTTATACTTCTTGTACAGAAGGTTGGCAGGTATACCAACTAAGCCTGAACATTCCCCATCCCATAAAAGGAAGGGAGCATCTGATAAACCTATATCCATCACCCTAACAATCAGCTTATACCTAGCAATGCCTTCTTTGAATTTTTTATCACATGTGGAACAAACCAAATCCTCTCCTGCTTTCCGGAGCTTTCTGTTGCATGATGGTGACATGCAAGAGATGTACATCCACCCAAAAGAACTTTCAATTCCTACAATCTCTGCTGGAATATAAAACTCTCCATCCTGCAGTTCCAGATTAAGCCAGTTTGTAAATAACTAAAAGAATCTGGCTAATGTATTCAACCGGAAAAAAATCAGTGTTTAGGAATCTCACCTCTTTAATTTTCAATAGATCACCTACTGAAGTCACAGAAACAGCACCACTGGTGAATTCTGAAATACCTATGGACTGGGAAAGAACTGTGGCAGTACTCAAACTTTTCATAGGACTATGAACAACACTAATCCTACAGTAAAAAAGATTATGTAAGGATTGAGCTCAATTCATGAAATTCAAATTAAAGTGGTTTTTAAAACATATTCTGGATAAAACACACAAATTCTGGATAAAACATATTCTATTATATTTCTTTCCATACTGACATAGTTTTTAAATCATTGTGATTAAAAACTAAATTAAGTAAACAATCCTAATTTACAAAAACAGAGAGGTAAATGACACATTCAGATTTATATATTTGTAACCTTGATAAATAAAATATAGTACTAAAAATGAACTAAGACAATCACAATTATTAAAACCACATTACATGATTAATAGTAAAGGAAATCAATCCTATAGCATACTTTTATATTAAAACAGTTTGAATACTATAGATAATCAATACAGCCTATAAAAGCAGAAATTATATAAACATACTTTGACCTGAAATCATCAACTTCCTGATAAGAGGCATTCAAATACAGTTTGGTAGCATCATATGAGCTTGTGATCCTGACTTCACCTAATAGGAGAACAAAAAGGTGATTTAAAATGGGAAAAAATATAAATAGAGTTTAAAACACAATAGGAGAATAACTTACCATTGATAACTTTAGCCCTACATAGCTGAATAACCACAATTAGTGGTTCTTTAAGATCTGCATTATAGTATGGAATCATGGCAGCTACATGATTGTCCCAAACAGTACATTTTAATGTATTTCCCCTATATTCAAATGTGTTAAGAAATCAGAAATACATTTGAATGAAAAAAATACTGTATGTAAAGCCAACTTACTCAGTGTCAGCAATTTTAAAATCAATTAGCTTTGCTGGTTTTCCACCTATGATCTTGTCCACAGGAGCATGAATTTCTATAAGTCATGAATTTCTATAAGTCGGCCTATTACATCTGTAAAAATAGAAATGACATTGAGATGTTACAGTATAATATAATGAAAAATATTATACAATGAACACATGTCTTACCAAACATCAGCTTCTCATTCACTAAAGTAGGATCTTTGAGACATTGATAGGGTTTTAGCTGAAACATGTTTGTAGGAAAACCTTTGCATTTTATTGCCTTCACCTGAGTCTTGTTGTTCAGTCTTATCATATACTTGTGATCACAGGTTTTATACATATAGTAAATCTTCCCTTCCTTGAACAAATTGTTGTACTTCTCTACATCCTTGTTTTGCATATTCACATGGATGAAAGTTCCCTACATATAATGTGAATAGAAATTACATAAATTTATGTTAAACATAACAGTGAACATAAATCATATGAAATTAGTTTACCTCTTCGTCGCATACCAAGCATTCTCGACTCTTGATTTGTTTAGAGCATCTACTTTCTAGTATTTCATACACTCTTACACACCTAACACGGATTGCCCTCTCAGTATGGATAGGGGCAATATCTTTAACTTTGATGTACATACTTGGCATGGTTAAATTCTTTAGAGATTTTCGATTGGAAGGTTTAATACTGTGCTTAGAACTGCAGGGCTGGAGATTTTGGGAGCGCAGATGAGATATCTCATAGATTTATATAGACTGTAATAGTCCATTTATAAATTTGAATAATATCTTGGAAAAAGAAGGCTGCTGGAGACGTTTCACTTCCCAATTAAACAATCAAGAACTGTTCTATCGAAAAACTGAATATATTATACACAGCTGTAAAATATGCATGTTTCTACATTGATGTCTGTAGGTATATTTATGTAAATTATTTATTCATGGCACAGATTCTAATTAGAACTCTTCAATGAGTAGAAGTCTATTCAATTTTTCATGAGAGCATAGTAGCCGGATAAGATCATCGGAAACCCAAAGGTCATTTACAAACAATCAATTCGTCACTTTTAATCACTATCGCAAAACGACGCAGTATGCTTTGAGCGGGAAAATGAATAGGGTAGAAACTTACTGCTTTATTATAATGATAGATGATAGATTTTTATTATTATTATTATTATTATTATTATTATTATTATTATTATTATTATTATTATTAAATATATGTGTACCCTTAGGTCATTTTACATGTTAATCTAAAAAGCTAATTTTTTCAAATATCTTTTTACCAACCGTTGATATAATTCGCTGGTCAAATCAGCTAATATAATCCGCTAACGCTAACCGCTAATTACTGATTGTCAAACAAGGACATTACGAGATAGTTCTCACTTCAATTTGTTGTGTGATTTGAATACTCTCTTTGTCAACAAATTCCTCAAGTAGTTAATATGATTGGCTTTATTAATTATATTTTTCTTAATTTTTTCATGGTATTAATAAAATACTTGGTAAATAAATATATAACATTATTTTGTATTATAACTTTGATATTTAATTAAAAAAAATAGTGCACAAAAAAGATACGGAGTAATAGACAATGTAGTGAATATAATCAATTGATGAATTTGAATGTAAAGAATTTTTACATTGGAGAAAAATAAAGTTTTTGTAACTTTCGCTATCTTAATATGAAACTCTCTTTGTCACACATCTCATGTCACTTGTCTGAGTTATTTGTCCTTGTCTTCTTTGTTAATGCTTTCATCCTAGAAAAAGACTTGTACACTCTCACGTGAGGCTGCCTTTATAATAAAAAAATTCTTTATGAAATCATTTCCAGCCTCACAAGAAGGGTATAGGTTTTGGCATCATCAAAAAGGTGGGAAATTGTTAGGAACCTTGTATTAGGATTTTGATGATACCAATGTATTGTAGGAATGTAGATCCCTAACTATTAGCTTTTTCATTCGCTACTTTCGTCCTAGACGAGAGTTGCCATAACTCCTCTGTAATTTGTGTTAAGCTAGACAAACACACAAAAATGAGTTATGACTAGTTGTTAGGGTCTCCAAGACGAATGAAGACACAAGGCATGATGAACAACAACGAAAGTCAAGCAGGAGTTGTCAACTATCACGAAAGGACAGTTTTGTTAAAAACGATTCTTACCAAGCATTACTTCTCTTCAACAACTAGAAGAATGTTTTATCTGTCTGATTTGACAACATCCTAGGACAATAAGGACCTCATCTTATGGGACACACTAATCAAGGAGCATTAAATGAAGGTGTACCATCTCCTGGAGCTAAAGGACAAAACCCCAATGCTCTCCATACCTTCAATGGCTACATGGTACAACCTCATTAATGGAGCATTTAATGCATGAGGCTCCCCGGTCCTTGCCCACTGGTTAAAAGGTTCGAAAATCTCATCTCCCTCCAACGGATGAATTTTCATCACCTATATAAACCCACCTTCATCAACTAAGAAGGTGCTGGTTCTTTTCACTCGACTCATTCACTTGCAAAAGCTCTTGAACGCTCTCAAATCTCTAAAAGCTTTTGTGAACCAGTGTTAAGGTGTTAACTTACTTGAAGAAAGTTATTGATCATTTTCTTACACCTTAAAGAAGTCTTGCCTTTTGTTCGAAGCAATCATCTCTCACTGTCAATACTTCATCACGTTGGAGAAATCAAGAAATCATTTTCTACCAACCTCAACTCTGAAGAAGAAGTTGATAGAGGCGGAGTAAACTCGAGGAGTTGAAAAACCTACGAAGGCTGTCCGGCTTAGTGATCAAGGAGGTCTTTGTGTAATTGTACTAAAGAGTGATAGTGCAATCCTTCCATCAGTTGTGGAAGAAGAGTGGAGTAGGCAACGTTAGCCGAACCACTATAAAATCTCGTGTCTCCTCTATCTCTTTACTTACGCATTTTCTTTCTACATTTATATCATCCTCATTATCTCTTTTACTGAAAGTTTTCCTTATATCGCAAACTCGTGCAAAGCAATTAAACGAATCTAACTTTTCCGCTGCGCCAAAAAACCGAAAGGTGACTTTGAGGGCTTTTCACGAAAAGAGTCTATTCACCCCCCCTCCCTCTAGATTCTCGCTACATTCTATCGGGACCAACAAGTGGTATCAGAGCCAATACCTTGATCAGTAGAGGCTTTGCATTTACTGCATGGTAGATCCCTTATCAAAAATTCTCTTGAAAATCTTGCATATTTTCTTTGCACGCTTTTTATCTTTAAAATGGAAAAGGATCATGCACATCGCTCTAAGCAACTTGCCTTTAGTCTTACTAAATTTGATGACTGGAAGTTAAGAATGCAGGCTCTCCTATGCTCTATTCATGATGAAATGTGGGACGTCATAACAACCGGACCAATCACGGTCATGATGGCAAATGCACTAGCAGCTGCACAGGGAGCAGGAGCTGCACAGATGATACCAAAGCCGAAAGAGCAGTATACCTCGGACGAAAGAACGAGGGCAAATCTGGACAACGTGGCAAGAAATATTCTCTACAACTCTCTGGATGATTCTTTGTTTCCTAGAGTCCGAAAGTGCCAAAATGCCATGGAAGTGTGGAATGTCCTAATGAGTTTAGGAGAAGGAGACGAGTAAGAAAAGGACAACAAACTGACAATGGCAATGAAAAAATTTGAAGATTTCAAAATGCTACCAAATGAAACAATCATGGAGATGGAACTCAGATTCACCAGACTTATGAGCGATTTGTCAGATCTCGGGAAAGAGCTAACTGAAAAGGAGATGAATCTGAAGATTCTTCGTGGGTTACCAAAATCATGGGAAATGAAGGTTATTGCGATGAGGGATAATCGAGACATGAAAACAACAAGCACGACCAAGATTTTTAGTGATCTCAAAGCATATGAGTTCGAACATGAACCGAAAGATGCAGAAGAATCAGAAACGAGAAACATTGCTCTCGTGGCAAATCAATCAGCATCAACATCCAACAGGTCGAAATCTAACTCTTGTGGTTTTTTATCTGATGAACAATATGCACTATTTGTCAGGAAAATGAAAAGGTTCATGAGAAAAAACAACTTTCAAGATCCACAACGATCGGGCCACCGAAAGAAGCACGAGAATTTCCCTCAAACCTCAAAAACCGAAACCATGGACTCGCAACTATTGTGCTATAATTGCCGAAAGCCAGGACACTTCAAGGCGAACTGTCCTCATCCTATAGTGAGCAAGCATCAAGATAACAACACTACCACAAGTCCCTCAAAAGAGACTGGAGAAAGATATAAAAGGAGCGACAAGCCCGAATCATCAAACTCCAGAAATGAAGGAAGAAGGAAGGCGATGGTAGTAAACGAAACTTCTGACACAGTTGCAACCGAAAGTAGCTCCTCAAGTTCAAGCTCAGAAGATGAAAACACCGATGAGGAGAAAGGACTGCTGTGCCTATTCAGCTAAGAGTCAGACGAACACAGATGAAGATGAGGTAAACTCTCATTCATCTTTTTGTTATTCAGCTGAGTCAAGTTCTGTGGGAAGTCAAACCTCCAATGAATCTGTTACCGAAATGATGAGGAGGTTCAAGGTGATAAATAGCACTTACTCCAAACTTAAAGAGGAGAACTCTCGGCTCATGATTAGCTATAATGAACTAAAGCAAGTTCGAATTGAGAACGATATGCTAGTCATTGCTAAGGAGCAACTTGAGAAAAATGTTCTCGCTCTAAAGGACCAATGCACAGCAAAAGAAAAGAGAGAGCAAGAACTGCTTGAAGTCTTGGATAAATTCAATAACTCATAGAATGATGAATGAATCTAGACTGCCCGAGGAAAGAACTGGAATTGGTTTTAACCCCAGCTCCTCTTCACAAGTCGAATTGAACAAATCCACGAATGCATATTCACACGAAAGCTTCGAGGCTGCATTTGTTCAAGGACCCACCCAGGTGTCTGAGCCTATGATGGTAATTAACAATGTCGAAACACCACAAACAACAAGCCAACCGAAAGGAAAGGCTGTACAACGTGTTGTGGAATCTGGAAAAGAGAAATTCGTTAATGGCAATCCTAGACAAATTTATGTCAGAAGGAATGGACCAAAAGGCAATAGACAAGATCTACACCATAAAAGAGGTCAGCCTAACAAGAATACTCAATCCAAGAAAAAGACGAATGTTAACCAGAGGCAATATCGTCCGAAACTCACACGAAAGAATCCTACTCAAGGAATTTCAAAGAACGGACAAATCAGACAACCTGAAAGATCCTTCATAAGATCTGGGTATGGCAATGGATGGACTGGGCCATCAGAAGAAGATTGGTTTGATTATCTAGAACCTCTCTCTAGAGCAGAGTTTGAAAAGACTCATCTGCGTAAACAAACTAATCATCTCAAGCATTATGAAAATCCTCCTCAGGAATATCTTCGTAAAAGATATAATGCTAAAGTCTTTGCCAGCATTCATTATGATTATCGTACATCTAATGGATATAGAGGACCAAGGATGAGTCGTTGACACTCTAGGTTGATGTGGGTTCCAAAGTTGACTGCTAACCCTCAAGGACCCGAAACTAAATGGGTACCTAAAAACATATAATCTTTGATGCAGGAAAAACAAGTCATATGGTATGTTGATAGTGGATGCTCAAGACATATGACTGGTGACAAAACAATGTTGAGCAACTTTATGGAAATAGATGGACCCAAAGTTATCTTTGGTGGAGAAAACAGTGGCAAGACTCGTGGAAAAGGGGACATCATCAAAAAGGGAATAACAATACAAGATGTCTCTTATGTTGAAGGACAGAAGTTCAATCTCCTAAGCACAAGTCAATTCTGTGACAAAGGATACAAAGTAGAATTCTCCAAAGACGAATGTAAAATCGTGAACACGAAGGATGGCAAGACAGCCTTAACGGGTCAACGAAAGAAGAACATGTATGTAATTTCCTTAAATTCTTCTAACGCTAATGTCTGTCTTGTGGCCAAAAG